CCCCCCAAAAAAAAACTTTCCTTCCATCAGCAGCTGCTCGATTTCTGGAGTATTTCACTCGAAAACAAGAAACCCACAAGAATTCCGATGTTTGTGCAATCCCACGCGACCGGAGCGAGCGGGGGAATATCCCACAACAATTAATTACAACGACGACAAGAAAATTCCCCGTGCTATTAATTAGAACAAATCGCAAAGCGATTAGAAAACCCTCGGAGTATTTATGCTATCTCGACTGAATTAGAAAACCCACCGAAATGCTTTGAAATTATCTCGAAGCGTTTCTACTAAATCCCAAAGGGAAGACGGAAAAAAAAAATATAAAAAATTATTTCTGAGTTATCCCAAAGGAATTCTAGCAAATCCCAGAGCAATTAAAGGAAATCCCAGAGCAATTAAAGCCAAAAGCCAAAGCAATTAAAGCAAATCTCAGAGCAATTAAAGCAAAACCCCAAAGAAATTCAAGCCAAAACCCAAAGCAAATAAAGCAAAAAGCCAAAAGCGATTAAAGCCAAAACCCGAAGCAATTAAAGCAAAAACCGAAAAGCAATTAAAGCAAAAAAACAAAAGCAATTAAAGCAAAACAAAGCAATTAAAGCAAAAAAACAAAAGCAAGTAAAGCAAAAAACAAAAGCAATTAAAGCAAAAACCAAGCAATTAAAGCAAAAAAAAGCAATTAAAGCAAAAAAAGGCAATTAAAGCAAAAAACAAAAGCAATTAAAGCAAAAAAGGCAATTAAAGCAAAAAACAAAAGCAATTAAAGCAAAAAAAGGCAAGTAAAGCAAAAAACAAGCAATTAAAGCAAAAAAAGGCAATTAAAGCAAAAACCAAAAGTGATTAAAGCAAAACCAAAAGCAATTAAAGCAAAAAACAGGCAATTAAAGCAAAAAAAGGCAATTAAAGCAAAAAACAAAAGCAATTAACGCAAAAAACCAAGCAATTAAAGCAAAAAAAGGGAATTAAAGCAAAAAACAAAAGTGATTAAAGCAAAACCAAAAGCAATTAAAGCAAAAAAAAGCAATTAAAGCAAAAAAAAGGCAATTAAAGCAAAAAACCAAAAGCAATTAAAGCAAAAAACAGGCGATTAAAGCAAAAAACCAAGCAATTAAAGCAGAAAAAAGCACAAAACAGGCAATTCAAGCAAAAGCCATTCAAGAAACCCCCACCATATCGAGAAATTCTAACAAACCCCCCCAAAAAACTGATTAAAAAAAACCAAAACTATTATAAA